CAAAACGATGCGTTTAATGACTGTATAGATAAAAACGATGCGTTTAATGACTGTACAGATCAAAACGATGCGTTTAATGACTGTATAGATAAAAACGATGCGTTTAATGACTGTATGGATCAAAATGATGCGTTTAATGACCTTACAGATCAACACAATGTGTTTAATGACTGCACGGATTAAAAACGTGTTTATTGACTGTACGGATCAAAACGATGCGTTTAATGACCGTATGGATCAAAACGACGCGTTCAATGACCGTATGGATCAAAACGATGCGTTTAATGACCGTACGGATCAAAACGACGCGTTCAATGACCGTATGGATCAAAACGATGCGTTTATTGACCGTACGGATCAAAACGATGCGTTTAATGACCGTACGGGTCAAAACGATGCGTTTAATGACCGTACGGATCAAAACGATGCGTTCAATGACCGTACGGATCAAAACGATGCGTTTAATGACGTACGGATCAAAACGATGCGTTTATTGACCGTACGGATCAAAACGATGCGTTTATTGACTGTACGGATCGAAACGATGCGTTCAATGACCGTACGGATCAAAACGTACCTTCAGGCAGCGCAGCAGCGACGACAGCAGCGGCGACTGGCTGATGTGGTGAACCCAGGGTGGCTGCTTCCTGATCAGGTGACCCAGCAGGGTGACGGCAGCCAATCTGGTTCCGGCTCGGTTCAGAGACTCGTTCAGCTTCTCCAGCAGCAACTGAAGGGGGCGGAGCCAACTTTTTTTTAACCTCTGCGAACACAGCGACACCTGTGAGAGCAGCGAGGGCTCACCTTATGATGAGGCTCCCTGATGGAGGCGAGGAGGAGCGCCGCCTGCGAGGAGGAGGAGTCCAGGTAGTACTCCAGCAAGGAGGAGAGGACGGCGCCTCCTCTGTCTGTGAGCAGAACTACAGGTCAGACTGAAGAGGAGGAGGAGGAGGAGGAGACACACGGAACAGGTGAACTCACCTGTATTCAGCTGCTGGTTGACAGCGGCTCTCACTCGCTCCGCCTCCTGCAGCTCCGAGCTGTCCAATGAGAGGAGGAGCTCAGAGACGCTCACCTGTTCTCTGGACATCCTGACCTGAACATGAACAAAGATTTAAATAAAACGACTCCCATCGTCTTCAACAGGCCCACCACCACCTGAACACCAGTCCCAGACCCAGCAGGTGAGAAGACCTGGTCCAGAATACGGGTTTTGTTCGAGCAAACAGGCAGGTTGTAAATCTTTGGACCCAAAACAAGAATTCCATTCTATCGTCCACTCGTTGTTAAGGTTGTTGTTCTGGTCCACCTGAATGAAGAGGTGAACCTGACTGAGGATCAGATTAAAAACTGAGTCCTCCTTATGGGGCGCCGTTTGTAACGTTACACAGTCAAAAATTACCACCAATATTTTTGTTTTATTTAACCTTTTATGAAAAAAAAACAGATTTATTTTTCAGTCAGTTTTTCACCATATGATTCATACATTTATAAATGTCATAGTTTATAAACTAAATATTTAACTAACAAATTAAATATTTAGTTAAAAAGCTAAATAT